GTTGGGGGAGGGTTGGGGGGATCAGCGATGCACAGGGAACAGGGAAGGGGGGTGGCGGGTGGAAAGCCCGGTGTCCACGAGGCTTGCAAGGATATTGCAAGCCTCCTGGAGAGAGCCACGATACGAGCAGTAACTGAGCTCTGGCCGTGTGCCGCGTGTCAAGGGCCACCTCATACCCTCATGTACAGCGACGACAAGACGCACCACCAGCCCTCCGAATCAAACGAGCGTCCGCCTAATGCCAGCACTGCGCCCTGCACTCACTTGCGGGGGTCGATGCCCATCGACTGCACATTGTTGAAGAGGTCCTGGCGCCCAGTCTTGAACGTGGCCTCCTCTATGGGCATGGACAACAGCTGCCGCAGGAACGTCTCCCCGCTGACGTCATCCCATGTGCCGACCTGCATGGCGCGACCATGGGCACGTGAGTGGGTGCGCGGGCAAGGTGTTTGGCCGTGTGCGAATCGGCGGAGGCCCCAAACTCAGAGCATAATTGGGTGTGGCATAGGGGTTCCGGCCAGCCGGACGCAAGGCTTGACCGAGCAGAAACGCACCTTGTCGTAGGAGTGTTAGGATGCGCAGCCTGCTCACAGGCGCACAGCCCCGGCGTGATGCGGGTGGCGCGCCGCACGATACATGCATGCTTTCTGTGGGGGAACCAAGGCTGTGGCGCGGCCACGCGGGCGCACCTTGGGGATGGGGTTGGCCTTGTAAAACTCGATGAGCCAGCTGTAGTGGGTGGGGTTGATCTCCATCAAGTAGATCATCAACTGGGGGCGGCAGGGGTTGGGGATCGCGGACGAGCGCGTTTGGTTGAGGTCAGCTGTGTGTGAAGCTGTCTTTCAAAACAAGGGCCACCTCTCCACAGACGATGAGGTTTTGTGTGCGGTCTTGATTGTGGGGAGACAGGTGCATAGTGCGAGGTTGCTGTGCACGTGGTGGACCATCCCCTTGCAACGCGACGGCCAGCGTTGGGGATGCATACACAGCTCACCGTCTTGGTTGCGCGCTCAGTCAGCAGGCCGATCAGCCGATCTCTGTTGCCGTCGCGCAGGGGCCTGCGAACCACAAGCATGGGAGGTTCAAACTAGGCTGGGTTGGACACCAAGCAGGAGCAACCACCTGCTGCAGGCAGCACACATCGCCAGAAACACCAGCTCCTAGGCCCGATATTTTGCGCCGCATGCTGATCACCAAACCAGTTATCAGGAGCCAGACGTGGTACCACAGCAACCGTAAGCCAAATCAGAATGACAGCCCGTTCAAAACACCCTAGCTGTGGGTCAAGCAGCCCTGGCAGCAAAAGAACGCCGTGCGCCCCTCCGAACTCACGTATCATAGGGACTGCGCTTCCTGCTCAAACATCAGGATAGAGGGTAGGGTCGGGGGCATGGCATGAGGAGGGGAGGTTCAGGGCGGTGACAACATGCAGGTGCGCTGCGCCAGCAACTTGCCTGGCACCGTTTGAGGTTGCCTGCCTGCATCGCAGCCGCTCCCAAGGGCACTTGCGCTGAAGCAGCATATCAGCGAGGCGATAGCGACGCCCGCCCGTGAGCAGCTGCAAGCGCTAGCGAAAGGGTCCTGCTCAGCTTGCCAAGATCATTTTTCCTCACCATGCTGGCCGGCCCCGCCTTCGGTTGTTGGTCTCAAACGATTTGCCTTTCTTGCTGCGATCATCACGGAAGCCGTTGGTCACTACTACCCGCGACAGCCGAGCCACCCGAGGAACAAGGGGTCCCTGATGAGCCAGCACGGCCCCCCGTTGAGGCAACATGATGTTGCACAGAGTTGATAGTAATAAGTTGAAATCGGTGCCAGCGATCGAGTTTTGAGTTGAGGCAGGGCCTCACTGGTTGACCCCAGAGTGCGGAAGCGAACTGGGCGGGAGGCAAACACCCACGCAAAACATCGCCCAAATCTTCATGTAAGGTTTTTTGATGAGAACAAAGTCTGACGCGACCTACAGTTTGAAGGACTAACCAGAAAACAATCCAGCCACGGAAAAAGCCAATCGCCGCACGACGCAGCAGCGACGCGTCCATCGGCCGACAGCGAGGCCAGCAGCAGCTGCCCGTGCAGCATGGTGGCAGACCCCACAACAGGCACGCTCACGGTGGACGCCAAGCTGGCGGTCCCATGGCAGCTGGACCTGCCGCCAAGCACTGTGCCAGACTCGTCCACCCGGGCGGCGCTCGTATTCACTCACGGCGCCAGCGGCGACCTGTCAACAGGGCAGCTGCCCGCCTATGCCGCTGCTGCCGCTGCCGTGGGCTTTCCTTGCGTGCGTATGACCTGCAAATCTTCGAGCGTGGCCACGCGCGCGCGTGCCATCCAGGTAAGGGGGGTGGAGCCGGGAAGATTTGACAGGTTGTGGTCTGCCCGACAGGCACAAGCAGCTCCCTGCTCTGTACATCAGGGCCACCAGCTGCTTTCATGTGCCAAATCAGCGAGTTCAAGGGTACCAGCGCCATGATGGAGAGGGGGTTTAGCGGCAAAGGACAACGCAGCGCCTCCTAGCAGGCCTCGAGATGTCCAGTACAGGACCATTTGCAGCCCGCACAGCCCACTGCAGACCATCCCGCTTTCTGTGCCGCCCCATGATGCGCACCCGCAAGGCCATCATACACAGCGCAGGAGATCTGCACCCGGCCCTGGCCAGTGTGACGCGGTGGATCGTGGGCGGCCACTCAATGGGAGCACGCGCAGCTGCCGATGCAGCCGCTCAGGCGGAACAATCGGACCACCAAGGGCCCGTGATCGTGGGCGCTGTCTTCTCCTCCTACCCACTGCATCCACCTGGCAAGCCGGTGTGCTCGAGTTGCGCAATCCAATGTTCTGGCCCCGTGCATTGCATCGCACTTGGCTGCGGCCCCCTAAGCAGTGGGCGAAGAGGCTGACCTGATGTGTACCCATGCGCATGCACGCAAACACGCACCCTCTACGCCATCAAAGAGCCGCTTGAGAAGCACGTATGCCTTCATAACAACGCCGCGCGGGGTTATCCACAACAGGAAAGTCTGCGGGACGAGCCGCTTTGTTCGCTGCGGCTGCCGCTGCTGTTCCTGCGGGGCACATCTGATCCGTTCTCAACGCCAGAGCCGTGGGAGCAGGTGCACAGGCGGCTGGTCACAGCAGATGTGGAGGTGAGAGATGCCCTTTGCAGCACTTGATCAGCATGCTGACGCCGGTGCAACCTGCGCCTGCTGTGTGCTGTACTACAGCTGTTGGTAACCACCAACAGGCTCCGAGTGCGATGCAGGATTGCACAGTGTGCCAGCAAACTGACAAGCTTTGCTCACCAGACTGCTGCTTGCCCCAGAGCACACTCATACATTTGCTCAAGGAAACTGTCCTCCATCTGCTGCCGCACAGGTTTGCGAGATTCCTGGCGGCGATCACGGTCTGAAGGCACGCGGAGGTGCTGCAGTGCAGGCAGCTGCCGCTGAGAGGCTGACAAGTGCCCTCCAGGATTTTCTGCAGCGCGTGGCAGCAGCGCCCAGCAGCAGCCGAGGAGGTGCCGCTGCACCAGCACCCGCTGGTGCTGTCGAAGAGAACACTGGCCGAAAGCGAGCGAGGCGCGATGTGTCGCGGAGTGGCGGCGCTGGTGACGACCACAGGGGCAAAACCAGTGCCAACAGTAAGGCACCTGGAACAGCAGCGCCGAGTCGGCAGGGCAAGGCAGTGGCGTCTGAACGGCAGCGCAAGGCACCCTTGCCCGCGGCCAGACAGAGGCGGCGATGATGACGACGTAGCACCCTGAGCCATTTGCATAGGCTCATGCTGCAGCTTCTTGATGTTGTCAGAGACATCATCTGTGTTCTTTGTTGCACCTGCTTGTGCTGCAACAATGTTGCTGTCATCAACAAACCAGCAGCTGCAGTCCACGCACATGCTTGGCCTGTGCCACTTTAGCCGAATGAACCCAGAATGATAGAAACACTCAGGGGATAAAAATTGTTTAACATGTTCAATTGCAGGCTTGTGACCGTGGTGCTAGGCCATATTGCTCTGTGCGGCATGGGGCCAGACCAGACGAGTGCGGTTGGCTACGGGGGCGCTCTTCGGCCAGGGTCGGGGTACCGGTATCTCTCTGCAATATGATGAATAAAGTATCAATCGGAGCTTGTTTATGTTCGCTCCCACGGCATCGGCGAGGCTCGCAAAACTGATCTGTCGAAATGGCGGGCAGTGCCAGCTTCGCATGTCTTTTCTCACTTCTGGCTCTAGTAGTGCTTGCGCGTGAGTTTGATCTCGTGAACTCGTGACTGCAACGCCACGGGATGCGCTCGCCGCCGAATTCGCAGGCGATGCGCGTGCATAGTGCGGCGCCCAGGTGCCCGACGCAGCCAAAGCCCTGCAAACATCACCCGTTGGGCAGGAGGCGCGCCTGTTTGGTCCAGATGGAGGGTGGTTGGAGGCGGCAGCAGCACAGCAGTATCAGGACAGGCCTTGGAGGTGAGCACAGCCTATAAACATGCATCGCCGAAGAGCGAGAAACCTGGCGTTGCGTGCAGTCCGCATGATGACCCCGCCTGCACCCAGCAGATGGCCCCGCCCCCACGGCGGCCATCCTCCCCCTGCAGTTGGCCCTTAATGGCGCGTGGGGCCTCGCCTGGGACCCTACCGCCTCGAAGCTTTACTTTAGTGAAGCCGCTACGCACTTGTGAGTGGGTGACCCCAGGGTGTCGGCGGGCAGAAAGCAGCGGCCGCGCACCGGCTATTGGCGACTTCATGCCCCTTGCATGCCCCATGCACGCATATGCGCAATTGCTCCCCTTACCTGCAAGCACTTGGCCCCCTCGTGCACGCGTGTGCCCCTCCCCCCCTTCACAGCATCCGGGCATACGCCCCCGCCAGCGGCGCCGTCGACCTCCTGGCAGGCTCCGGCGCGGAGCCCAGCCCCGAGATCGTCGTCAACAATGCGGCGCCCGCGAGCGTGGGCATCAGCGGCATGGCATCGCTCGCGTGGCGCAACGGCACGCTCTGGGTCGGCACCAACAGCCTGCTGCACGCCATCGACCTGGCCGCCAACATGCTGACCACAGTCAGCGGCGACGGCACCGCCGGGTGGGTCGTGCGTTGCGCAACAGGCTTGCTGTCGCACAAACGGCCGGTGCGGGGCGCTCCATGGCGTGGCGCTTCAAGGCATGGGCGGCGCTTGTAGACTTCCGCCTTTCTTTGTTCTTTTGTGGGATTCTGACGCACGCGGCGCTGCCTTGCCCCTCAACGCTGCTGCACGTGCAGCTTTGGAGGGCCCGAGATCAGCACCCCTGTCCAGCACAGCGGCATCTATGGATTGACCCTGGCGCAAGCAGACGGCGCCGTCTACCTGGCCGAAACGTGACAGGGGGTTGTGTTAGGAGAAAACCTGATGCCACATGCATGGAGGGCGGGGGACGCCATGCGTTGCGATGCAGCGATGCAAAGGGGGGGACGCAACGCGTAGTGCGCGCACGCAGGGCGTACAAAACAGAATCTCCCCTGCATTTGGCTGACTTCCTCTGGGGGTTTCACAGCCGCTCACACCAGGTTGCACATTCCCACAACACCTCTTATCTTGATGCATTGAATGCCCCGCAGCGCAAACAACCGGGTCCGCGTCCTCCCGCCCGGCGGCGCCATCTCCACGATCGAGGGGACCATGGGCGCGGCGTCCTGCGGGGACGACGGCGCGGCCTCGTCCTCCGTGGCGGCCCCCTTTGGCGTGTGCCTGGACGACGCCGCCAACCAGCTCTACGTCCTGGAGGGCGGCTGCAGCCGCGTGCGGCGCATCGACCTGAGCGCCGCCACAATCGCCACCGTTGTCGGCACGGTGCGTGGGCGCATGCGGGTGGCGCAAGCGCTGCGGGTGGGATCCGGTTTTCTGTCGCTTCGACGTCCTCTGCTCTGATAGGAGGGAAGGCACAACCAGGATACGGCGTGCTCTCGCTCTCAGCACTGGGCCCGTGGCGGCGCAGGCCGCAGGTCACAGCAGCTCCGTCCGCAGTGACATCCACCTCATCGCCCCCGCGCTCACCCCACCCCACCCAAACCCTTTTTGCCCTTGATTCTCATCCCATGACGCGCCCAGGGCGTGAGTGGCTCCACCTTTTCGCCCGACCCCTTGGCCGCGCAGCTGTCGCGCCCCTCGGGCTGTGCGCTGCTGGCCTACGACGACGGCCTCAACCCCACCACCCTGTTCTTCACGGATCACGACAACGGCCACGTGCTGGCCTACTACCCCGCAAACGACACGCTCGCGGTGGGCGCGCGCATGCAGAGCACAGCACGGCAAGGGGGTGGAGACATATCAGCCCTACATGAGACTGTGCATTGCTCATTGCTTTTTTTAAGGCTAGTTCAACTGCTCCATATCTTGCCTGTGCATGCGCTAAGTATGAACAGCGTGTGACTGCTGTGCCGCCCTGTCTCTCGCCCTCTCTCTTGGTAGGAGCTGCCGCTCACCGCGGCAGCAAAGCCAGCCCTCCACTTGCTGACACAGACGGATGGGCCGCCCCTGGCTGCCATGCGTACGCGCAGGTCGTCACCGACGGCCTGACCCTCCCAGCGGCACTCGCGATTGACCGCACCAACCACCTGCTGTATGTGGTGGAGCGTGGTACTGCCATGGTCAGCGCCATCCACGCTGTGCAGCTACCGCGGTGAGCCATGCTCTTGCAACAGGTGGACGCGGGCGGCGTTAAGTGGACTGCTTGAAAGGGGCGTGGTAGGGCAGCATGTTGTGACCGGGGCATTGTTGGCATAGTGCAGGGCTGAGCGGGGGAGCGAACGGCAGCGCGGGACAGAGCATCACAGCAGAGAAAAGCCTTTCCTTTTGGAGGGTGCTGGGCGCGGACACACTCACTGCCCTTGTCGAAACAAAACACTCTTTTCACTAGCAGCCGGTATGCATACCAAAGCCTTGGCCACCGCTCCGCCATGCACGCGCGCTCGGCAGGCCGCGCCCCGTGCCGTCGCCTACGAAGAAATGCCTGGCCGGCTTCAGCCTGGACCCTTCCACCCAGCCAGGGGAGTGCGCCGCCTACAGCTCAACGTCTCTTCAGCGTGCCTGTCACCTCCGTTACTGCCAGCCATGACCGTGCACACGGCAAAAGACATGACTGCACGCATGGGGGATGGGCAGCTGCACTTGATGCGCAGAGGGCCCATTCAAAAGGGATGGGGCAGGGCAATAAGCTCGTAGCCGGGATTGGTTGGTCCTCTTGGATGCACAGGAGTTTTGTGGGTGCAGCCAACCCCCAGCGAAGCCCTGTCGGCTGAGGCCCATAACCCAATTTTAACAACATCAACGAACACGCCACGTTACATACTGGTGCCAGCGATTTGGCTTGCGACGCGGAACATTAGTGACGCGCAGCATATGAATTGCCTGATGGCGTGCAGAGCCTGATAGGTCGACTACATACCTTGGTCTGCATAATCTGCATCTGACCTTCCCCGCTTGTCACCTGACCTGTAACCAACTGAAAACCAGCCAATAATCGCTGCTTGGCACATACTCTGACTGCACCCCGCCCTACCGTCATCTTTGATGTGCGCTTTTCTCAGTTAGCTGCCGCTGTTAACACCGCCGTCTCTCGGGGCAACAAGCCTTTCTGCCTGCACTACTTCCAGAGCAGCGCAGAATCATGTGTGGCCGTGCCACCTATCGGTAACCCAACATGCGGTACACAAAGTTTCTCATGTGGCGTCGTGCGCGCCGCACGCTGCTAAGTGCGTGCAGCAAGCGGCCCTCTCGCTGGGGCCTCCCGTGCGGGGAAGCGCAGTCAGGTTTGCAACACCAGCTCATGTCGCGTGTGCCGGCCTGCACAGCGCGACTGGAAATCGCAAATGTTGCACCAATTTGCGGCGCAACCTGTTGTCATAAATAGGGCTGTGTGTCAGCGAATGGAGGCATGGTACTGCTGCTGACACCCACTGCTCAAGCTCTTTGGGCACCATTCACCCTCCATGCAAAATGCTGCGCGGCCAGCGGCGTCGGCCCGGCCTGGCCTCACGGGTGGTGGCATGCACGTGGCGCCACGTGACGTCCATACTGCCGCTGCACTGCCGCGATGTTCATGATGCTCGCTACCCCACCCCTAACCAAAGCAGCAGACGCCGACCTGGGGGCCGGCATCAGGGCGCAGCTGGAGGCAGACACAACAGACAGGGATGCGCGACACACGCTCGTTGCGGGGGACGTGAACGCAGCGCTATACCCTAGCGACAGGACAGTGGGGGAGGAGAGCCCCCGTACATACACCCACGACCGCGCGCACAGGGCTGCGATGGCGGCCCTGCGACTCACGCCCGTTGACGCACTGCCCGCGCCAGACGCGACACAAGCTAGGCTGAAAACATTCCGGAGGCAAGGCAAGGGCTTGATCAGTAGGATTGATGATGTCC